ACGCGAGGGCGCTGGGCCGGAGGAAACGACACACGCGGCACGTGTTGTTGTGTTGTTGTTGTTGTTGTTGTTGTTGTTGTTGTTGTTGTTGTTGTTGTTGTTGTTGTTGTTGTTGTTGTTGTTGTATTGTTGTTGTATGGTTGTTGTTGTTGTAATGTTGTCGATGTTGTATGGTTGTCGTTGTTGTATGGGTATCGTTTATGTTTGGTTTTGGTTGCTGTGTGGTTGTTGCATGGTTGCCGTTGTTGTAGTAGTCTATTTGTTGTTTTGTTTTTTGCACCGTGTATAAAGGGAAGCCCCGGCTCATTTAGAGATGGGACTCCCATTCCAGGAATGAGATACGGTTAGTGCAGTGTGACATTGAAGACCACTAGAAACTGCCCTGTATACCTGTAAGTAGGTGATGAACCTAGGTCGGCCCACCTGCTGCTGGGTGACACCAGCTTGAATTACGATGTGTACTAACTTCCCCCCGAGGTTTGCCCTGACCCTGCAGCGACCGACATAAGAAGTGAAACCATCGTATTTTATACTGCGGGGTTGCCGGCGCTCCAGGAGGGTAGTTCCAGACAGTTCCAGGGACGCGGACTGCAGGCAGTGCAGGAGGGGCCCCGCCTGGAGGGGCAGCGCGCAGCGCAGCAGCTCAGCGCCGCGCCGGCCGCCGACGCCGCAGTCAAATGAAGTGCTTGTTCGCTGGCATGTGACGGACCGGCGGCCGGCCGGCCGGCCCGGCCCGGCCCGGCCGTTGCCAAGGGGAACCCTACCCACCGGAACATTAAGCACTCGGACACGGGTGGGCATATCCTCAAGGGCTAGAGCGCGCCGCTGCTGCTGCACGCCGAGCCGGCCGAGCCGGCCAAGCAGTGCGGGAGAGAGAAAATACGCGCAGCGGAAACACACCCGCGAGGAGGAGAAGGACGAGGAGGGGGATAGTTTTCCAGTTCGTAAAATTGGGTTGCGTCGGGACGGAGCGGATAGACGGGCGGGACGGGCAGGGTCGTTATTGCCGCCAGAGCCAGATGAAGTGAGCAGAAAACCGCATCGTTTGCAGGTCGAGCGCCGGCGTGGCGGGGTGGGGCGGGGTGGGGCGCCGAGCATCGCGCCGACACCACTTTGCTTGTTTGCGACCAAGATTTAAACGCCGCGCCACGCCGCGCCGCGGAGCGTGATGAGGCCCATTAGGACCCGAACCTGACCCTGGAGGAAGAGAAGGAATAAGAGCAAAGAAGAG